TAATTTGAACCCTTCTCTTTTGTGTCCCCAATTTTGACATTTTTCTGTCCAAATAGTTGTTGCTCTGTAGTCCCTCATGTGATATTTACGTCTATGACAAGTAGCGATTGATGGGCACCTTGTCCCATCAATTTGTTTGAAGATTCACGACATGTCCTTTAGCCTTACTTTTCTTAAGCTTCCATTTTGAAAACTCTTTACGTGATACAGGGCCTCCAGCTTTTATGTCCCAACAGCAAATTAATAATTTTAGAACAGGTTGTGTGATTTATCTCTGTAGTTGATTAACCCTACTGTTCAATTTTATGTTTTTCATGGTTCAGGTATATTGACTATTTATTTCTGGGAGACTATGTTGATCGAGGGCAGCACAGTTTGGAGACCATAACTTTGCTTCTTGCTCTAAAGGTAAAACTTGTGCTTTCAGTGAACAAAAGTTTCATATGAAGTATATAATTTGGCACTGTCCTTGTATTGATGTTGCTGTACCTTTTATTATGATTTTGCAGATTGAGTATCCTGAGAATGTCCACTTGATACGTGGAAACCACGAAGCTGCTGATATAAATGCGCTCTTTGGTTTTCGTATTGAATGCATTGAAAGAATGGTATGGATGAATGGGCAATGCCAAGCACACACTAATATAGTTATCCAGTAGGACCATTTCATTTTTTTGAAAACATAAATGCGATAAATAGCATTTGTTTTCACAGGGAGAGGGTGATGGGATATGGGCATGGACACGTTTCAATCAACTCTTCAACTATCTTCCACTCGCTGCACTTATTGAGAAGAAAATTATCTGTATGCATGGTGGCATAGGAAGATCCATTCATTCAGTGGAACAGATAGAGAAGCTGGAAAGGCCCATAACAATGGATGCTGGATCTATAATTCTAATGGATCTTCTGTGGTATGCTTCACTCAAATTTATTTTTACTTGTGATCTGTCATTGCTTACATTAATTTGTATTGTGAAACTTCTCCTTTCAGGTCAGATCCTACAGAAAATGATAGCATAGAGGGGTTGAGACCAAATGCTAGGGGCCCTGGTCTTGTCACCTTTGGGGTATGCATGCCATTGCTTACATGTTTTATGTCAGATGGTTTTTATTTGTTGTGTTTGGTGTGTATGATTGATCACAGGCAATATGTTCCTTGTCATGGTGAATACAAATAAAATTTTAACTAAAATATAGACATCCCATCAACCTTTGGTAAAAAGCAAGTTAGCCACACAAAAATTCATTAAAAAATACTGTATTTGCTACAAACGCAAAAGTTATTTTACTATGGTGCAACATGCATTCCTAGTAGTTTGCTTTATGCATACTGTAGTTAACTGGTGCAAAAACAAGACCCTTTTTCTTTCATTTAGATATGAACAGGCAAAATCCTTCCTTTCAAATTTGGAAGAAAAACAATGCCTTTTGCCTTGTACCATTAAATGTGGGATGTAACCTTAAAGATAGTTTAGGACTTAATTTGCTTCTAACGCTTATTGGGGAGCCAAAATAAAATAAAATAATCCAAAGTTAAAGTTGAGAGATTGGTTTGCATTTGACTCAAAGTTGAGTAGTGTTGGCATGTTTTAGCTGAAAAACTTCGCTACTGAGCTTGAAGATGTAATATGATAGATATATGCTTGAAGATGTAATATGATACATGTATGAACTAACCAGGGAATTTTGAGCAGGACCACTCAATGCTCTTTATGTTAATTGTGAAATACTAAGTGATGTACCGCTTCAAAGTTCCAATGAATCTATACTTTGCTATGATAGCATCAGTTTCATATACTTCTTTTGGCAATGAATATTTGAATTTGATGCCTTTCAAGTTGCATATGTAATGAAGTTTTTGCTTGTGTATCTTTTATGTCATTGCAGCCTGATCGTGTAACTGACTTCTGTAAGAAAAATAAGCTACAGCTAATCATTAGGGCACATGAATGTGTTATGGATGGGTTTGAACGATTTGCCCAAGGGCAATTGATTACTCTATTTTCTGCAACCAACTATTGTGGTAAGATAAATAGCTTGAGTTTTCTCGTGCTAAACTCAAATTTGAATCCTAATGTGATGTCTTCATCCAGGGACTGCTAACAATGCTGGAGCTATACTGGTAGGTGGCAGGGGTTTGGTTGTGGTTCCAAAATTGATTCATCCCTTGCCACCTCCCCTTCAGTCACCAGAGACATCCCCAGAACATGTGATTGATGATACATGGATGCAGGTAAGACTTCTTACACTTTCAGTGTTGGTAAATCCAACGAATCTGGAAAGCCCATCCCTTGCACATAATTGTTTCCTTTACGTTCCTGTTGTCTTTCAGGAGCTTAACATCCAAAGACCTCAAACTCCAACACGGGGTCGCCCTCAACCTGATCATGACAGAAGCTCACTTGCGTACATATGATGATGCTACAAGACCAGTTTTTGTATTTTATGGGATTTCATTGCAGCTCTTGTTTTTTCTGGCACGCTTGACCCTTTTGTAGCCCAATTTTAATCAGCGCGTCTCCCACTTGGCACGAGTTTGGTGCTTGTTTTGTATTTTCAGATATAGAAGTCGCAGAAGATACAACTATACATCTTTGAGAATGATCCGAGGTTTAGCTGTTGTTAACTAGTGAGTGTAGCCTATATATAATTTAGCCTGCACAGAAGATGGTATTGTATTTCTACTGTTAATAGTTTATAGGGTGATCAGCTTTTGTAAAATAGACTATCTTAAGAGTTATTTAATTTATATTATATTCATTTGATTTTGATCAATGTTGTGTTGAGGCATGTAAAAGTGACTTGGCCACAGCCGAAATTTTAGCCAGTTCCAGCATGAGAACCTGAAAAATGTCATTTGCAAGTTCTGCGTAATTTATTCGGAAAAACTAATTCTGAGATGGGGCGGCATGAAAAAACCTGACTCCAATTTCTTAAACACTTGCCACAACCATTGCAATGGACATTGATGCGTAGATTGCAATCTCTCAAGGTAATGGAGGAAAGACGCAGGAATGTGAAGAGATAAGAGAATCCTGCACGTAAATACGGTAGTGTATTCTCCCACCTTCTCTACAGCTCCACCTCTTGCCATCCCTCGAAACAAAGACCGTTGGAAGAAAAGATGCCATTAGCCGCGCGTATAATGTCTCCCGGCATGAATGCACTGCACTCATCACCCCAGAACTGGAAGTGAGCTGAGGCAGTCTCGTCAGCCACAAGTGCCAAGCAGGTACTGTTCTTGGTGAACTATGTGTCAGTTCAATTGATTCATCCCTTCCAATTTTGTTCTGCCTTTGTTGTATGAACTATGTGTTAGTGTTGTTTTCAGCTACGGGTACTTCGTCGTCTGGACAGACCATCCTTCCTTCTTGATCCTGACTTGCTGCTTTCCTGGAACTATCTACTTGTTAAGTCTCTCTTCAACCTGTAAAAAGTACAGGGGGGGAAAGGAGAGGAAAGAAATAAACATAAGCTATAGCGTAGGATAGGATAGGAGTATCTGTCTTTTCTTTCTCTATCATTTGCACAAACACCTAGACTTCAATCGAGACCCATTCACTTCAATTGTATAATCCTAAATTGATGACAAGTAATAGATTCATGAAGACAACAACTGTTGTAAATCGCACTTGACAATCAAAATCAAAACAGGAGGATTAAATTATAATTTTAGAAATTAAATATACCATTTTTTAAACTAAAATAAATTACAAGGACTAAAATTATCAATGAAAAATTTAAAAACGAGGGGTTGATTTGACTATTTATATAAACAGTGAAATACATTTTGTTAAGTCATTTTAGTTAAAAGTTTTGTGTTGTAGCTTCATTCCTTGTGTTGTAAGCTTCATGTCTGTTGTCTTTTTTTATTTTTCAAAAATAATCATCAGCCTGTTATTTAAAACTAAATACTGGCACTCAGGCCTGTCTGTGGCTCCCGACCCCATGAACATGTCCATCTCATTCAAGAATGAGCTTTTTATTGTTATTTTTTCAATTGGCCTTCCGCTTGTTTTCTTTGGATTTTTTTTTAATATTAAATTTTTAAATTTTTTTAATATTTATTATTAAGTTGATTGTAAGTTAACCAGGATGAGTATGATTTTATTTATTTATTTATTATCTTTAGACCTACCTGTGAATAAGATCATGTTAGGGTAATTCTCACAATTTAATTTAAAATCAGAGCCAAGTAAATAATCGATCAAGATTTTCAAGTTTGAACTATTATACTAAATTTAAAATCAATGTCAAAAAGCTTTTACCAAATGATTTTTATAGAATAAAAGGTAAAATCAAAATAAATTCATGAAATCTATCATATAATTATAGATACTCAACTACATATATAAATATAATCACAAAAAAAAAATATATATATATAAATATAATCACAAAAAAAAAATAAAAGAAAATATAAACTTGTCCAAACAACATATAAATATATTCATAAAAGTTTATTGCAAATAAAACATAAACACCGGACCTTTTCTTCAATTTGCAAATGGGTGTGAGACAAATATGATACTGTCACTGTGATCAACCAGCTTTTTTTAAAAAAAAAAAACACATCTTTTATATTTATTTTCATTAGACCATCTCATAAATAAAATCTTTTATATTGACTCTTAAAAGTCGGGTTTTGCTCAAAAGCAATAAACCAAAACTAGACTAGACTCTCTTTTTTTCAGTTTTCTAATAATTTTTTTTTTCTCAATTGAATTTCTTTTTCCACTTTTATTGATTTTTTGGTTTTTTTCTCACCTTACTCAGCTCCATGTCAAGCTTTATTTTCCTTTCTTTTCTTTGCTTCGTAAACTGCATTCGTTGCGCAAAGACATGTACGAGAGAGAGAGAGAGAGAGAGGGAGGAGATGGTTGCGAGTTGATGGGACAGTGCAGGTCGTAACTGGGAGCAGGCTTTGTTGCCACGCACTAGACACCAGACAGTGCAGTGTATTTTTTGCCTTCCGGTTAAGCTTTTGTGGATGCTGCTGTGGTGCCATACTTTTATGTCATTTAATTCTAACTTCCATTTAAAACGACAGAGCTAAACTTCAGAACCTGAACCAGCTTATGATTGGGAACTTAAAAGAAAGAACGATGCCCCTGGTAGCCAGCCACTAGCACTACATTCTAGCTAAAAAAAACTAGCATTGAGGTCGTGACATGTATATTTTGTTCGAATCCCACAACACTCTCATCACCCCAATCTTCTGTTCAGCTTCATAAAATGACATGCCTGTGGTTTCGGATGGGTATGGAAGCCTCACCCATTTCTCAGTCTTGAGCTCTGTAACATCCACGACACACATCTCTGATTCCTCCAATATCCTTCCATACCATTTGCCTTGCACTTGATATACCTTTCCCTTACCAATCTCTTCTCCTTGCCCGTCTACAAGCACAACAAACTGCCCTGGCTTGCACTGAACAAATTCTGAAGCACCAATGTCAACGAAGTCTGCTAATCCTATCCCAGCCTCGGGATCTCCAAACACACCAATTTCTGATGTGTTTTGAAGGCCTTTTGCACTCAATGTGGTGTTGTCTTCACTGGGGCTCTCAGGCGTGTCCTGCCGCTGTACTTGTCCAACTTGTTTTTCTGGAAATGTATTATCAACCTCCATTGGTGCACGGACATCCTTGCCTGCACGAGCTAACCTTGCTTTGCGATTGTTGAGCCTGTGGTAGCACAGAAATTGACAAACTCGTTAGACGCATAACAAAGTCCAAGCCTATCCAATTGAACTTCTGTGGTACGGTAAAGAAACACCTATTTCCAGTTTTGACCTGCCATCCAGGCACCGTCTATCCAGAAAATCAGGAGGCATGTATAATGACATACTGATTGAAAAATCAACTTCATATAATGAGCAAATGGAAAAAACTCTCAAATGAGTACAAGTATAAAACTGAAAAGCCAGAAGTAATTTCTCTAGAAAAATAAGAAGGAAAAAAAAGAAGGTTGAAACCAAGAATGCCAGTAGAAACAACAAAAATTAGTAACTGCATGTGTAGCAGTAACAGAAGATTTTGCAAGTGTCCTAGAATTAGCATTTAACACACCTCAATCTTTTCAGAGTTTGCATCAATAAATCTTGTAACCCAATATGTGAAAAATAAAATGTCCTTTTACCAAGTGTTCATGGACACCTGTGGTTTACTCCTATCCTGTATAAGAAGCTTGCCATGAAAACATTGCAGAGAGAATCAAATTTTAAAACCTAAATGAAGAGACATTTCAGTAATAACTGAATTGTGCAATTATATCCTATTATGCAACATTAACAACTAAAAGAAGGGTAATGTAAGCGTTCACATAAAAAATCTTTTCTGGGAAATGGCTATATCAGGCATCTATTTACAAGTCCAGTTGACACAAATAATTCGAATTTATCCATGTACACACCATCCTCTTTTAAGCATTTTCAGTAATGCCACATTTCATAGCCAAGAAGTTCCTTGAATGTAAACTTTTTATCCTTCCACAAGCCATATTAGTTATCACGAGAGTATAACCTGGAGAAGGGATACATTCTTAAACCATGGAGAAGGTGAGACTTCCTTACCAATTTTTCAGTTGTGAAGGTGTAACTTCTGATCCCTGGGAAACACAATAAACTTGTTAAGCCAAAAAGAAAGAAAGAAAGAAAGAAATTTTTTTAAAAAAATTACAGGTGATGTGTTGGGGACACATGAATAGAACTAACTTACATAATGAATGATACAAGGAGCATTTTACTTACATTAAGACTCAATTTATCTGCCCATGACTGCAACGCTGCGGCATTTCGCTGCATCTCAGGTTCATCTAGTAGGGCTTTCTCCATAAGTGTGATTTGATAGTCATTCATAATAGTCCGCTTCCTTTTTCTTGGCTGCTTTTCTTCAAAATGGGGACTTTCAACTTTCTCACCACCACAAACTCCCTGACAACCATTTCGTTTTATATGCTCACTTGATTTTAGGAAGTCACCATTCACTACTTGACCTGCATAAGTCTTCCCTCTAGTGGAACTTGTATCTGAACCACTTGTTTCAACAGTATGAGCATCTCTATCAATCTCTCTTAAAACATCAGATACACATGCACCAGATTTAGCTTTGTCTTCCTTAATTGCATCTTCTGCTTGATTCCTATTTTTGAAACTAGGCTTCTCCTCTTCTTGGATAGCTGAATTCTCTGACATTTCCTCTTTTTGGATATCTGTCCTGTGGTAAAGATGTGAAGGTTCCTTCATCACCATAGGTGATCTGTATGCCCCAGTGCTTTGAGCTTCCTACGAGGAATCAAATTTGTTTGCAAGAGACAGTGTAGGATTTGAAGAGAAAATCAACACCAAGAACACTTAAAATGCCTTCCTCAGAAACCACAATGATATAATGGATCTTAAAATTTTGACCTTCAATAAAATATGCAATAACTTCTAAAGTTTCAATAATTATATGATTTTAAAAAATATGCTGTGGCTCAGTTCTAAACTTTAATTTGGATTTCTGTCAAGTTATCCCTTTGTCACCAATAGCAAGGCCAGAAAATTATTTTGGTGGGGTTAATTGATAACTTATGCCACATCAAAATACATATTTTGATACACAAATCTTGGTAAACTCTCAATATATCCAAAACAATTAACTAAAAATAATTGTTAATGAAACGGTGTACTATTCTATGAAGTGAGTGATGATAATAAATGAGTTTGATTGGATTATCATGAAAAGCATGGAGAGCTCAAGAGCAGAAGCAAAATAATTAATATGAGTAATAGAGAACGTAAATGCCATGGGAGAAAAGAGATAGATGCAATGCGTAATAGAGAACATATTACATGGGAGACGAAATATGAGCAACGAGAGAAGTTGAGCAACATCAATTGTAATGTAAAGAGATCATTAGTGGAGAATCATACAAATGAACACCAAGCAACACTTCCTCTTTATGTGTATATTGAATAGACTACTTTTTTTTAATAGCATTTCATTTTTGTAGCTACTTGGATGTAATTCACAAAGCTTAAACCTGATAATTTCCTAACTTCTTACATAAAAGTATAAAGTTGAATCCACTTACATGTATCTTTTTTTCTGTTTAGTTAATGCATAGAGTTCAATTTAGACAAAATAAATAAGGTAAGTACTATCATACCTATATTTTCATAGTTTATTAATTTAAAAGGGTCTATTGACCCCATTATCATTTTCTTGGCCCTGCCTATGTTTGTCACCTTGATGACCCTCCAAATATTACAGCCAGTAATAGAACCACACATCAGATTTTTAAAAAACCAAGCTTCGATGTCAAATGCCACATCATCATACTAATGTAATGGATAATTGTGACAAAAATAAATGAACTTGTATTTAAAAAACAAAAGATGTTAACCTGAAGATGCTCATCAATAGTAAGTCTAGAGAACTTATCCAAAGATATTGACCTCTCAGATTTGATATCCTGAAATTTTTTCAGCTGCAAAATGTTAGCACATTTAAATTGTGAGGGACATGAAAAAGGAAGTTGGAGCAGAGAGAACAAAAACACTATTAATTATTGAAGGACAAAACCTTACTTGAACTTGGTTTTCTTCAAAATCAGTAGGATTAATCAGTGATTGTAACTGGTTAAAGAATACCCTTCAATAAAAATTTCAATGAAGAAAGTAAGCTATCTGTATCACTGGAATTCACATAGACGGTATCGTATGCATATATATACATGCACAATGTATACACCCCATATGTGAACTACAAATTGTTAAAAGAATATATATATAAACCTACATGACATTCCAGCACCAAAAAGACATTTAAAGTAACATACAACAACTATCCACAACTAGCTAATGAAACTAAAATCCTCAACTTCACTGGCATTACAACATGTGCTATCTTAGTTGGCATTACAACTAGCTCCTGGTTGTGCTATCTTACTGTTTTTGCTAGACATTCCTGCAGGTTAACACATTTCTCTTTTTAATTTGAGGATATAGAGATGATGCAGTGCAAGAAGAAAGTTTACATCAATAAATTCGGTTAATTTTCAGATTGTCATTATTTATAATTCTTATGTTATTCAGGAACTTAATCTATTTCTTTTTCAATATTCAGTATCAATTAGGAGCTCTATTATAATGATTTCTTTTGTTTGCTATTTCGTTTAGAATTCCTATTTCGTATTAAATGTTAGGGCTTTTAGTGTACCCATATAAACACAGATATTATCTATTTAAAGAAGGGAGAAATAGAACGTGTGGATTTTCTTTTAATTTGTGGATTTCAAGAACTCTAGTTTCTTGTAAATTTAAGAAACACCCGTTATATATTTCATGGGTTCCAGGCCCTTTTCCCATACTTTGTCTTCTTCTCTACATTAATTGGTTTCAGATAATCCTTTCCCATGTCATTTCTGCTTCCAATCCAAGTATTGTACTTATTCTGAATTTCAGACCTTTTCACCATGCTTAAGATCTGACAAACCAATGGTGAAGGTGTTGGACAACATTTATGTGATGCAGAGCAAATGCAGTTACCAATAACGTTCAAAAGTTATGGTCTACTGAGGGGAAACCTATCTAACATCTAAGAACCTCTATCCTAACAATGTAGTGCTGATTATAGCAAAAGCTGTCCAGAAGTATTCAAGGATGTTGCTATTCTTTAAAATTAAGCACAAAAAAGGAAAACAGCAGCACTTGTTGCAAAACATCCTAAAAAATTATAGGAAGAAAGTAGTGTGGTTGATGTTTAACTCACCTTAACAGCTGTACATCCTCCTCATTCAAAAAGTTAGGAATTAGAGACTCTGCATGACTTAACAACGAACCTACACATGCAAGTTACTCATAAGAGACCCCACTGACTTTTATACATCATGTCTATCAAGAAAATCATAGGAGACTAATACTTACGAAGGTTCCTGCAAACTGTTACGGCTCTTAGAGCACCAGAAGTAAAGGAAAACCCAGGCAATGATTTAGATGGGTCCATCCGCATGCACTCCAGAAACTTATGAAGGAACAAGTTTCTTTCCTGCTCTGTGGATTAGAATGAAACATTGAATTACACAATCCATTCAGAAGCCAACAGATCAATCGTGATGAATATTTACAAAGATTGTGAGAGAAGATTCACCTTCACATATGTTTGGAACAAAACAGTGGAGGTTGGCAATTAGCTTCACAAATAATGAAGTTCTTTGATGTGCATACATAGCTTGGGGCATGTTACTGGGAATTAAAGTAATTTCTAAATTTATTGCATTTGATTGGTTCGCTGCTGCAAATGTGTCCAAAAACCACCCAGCTGCTGTAAATGCATCATACTCCAGAGTACCATCTTCTTCTCTTGGTGGAAATTCAGAAGAACACCAAATTGATAAAAAATCTCCATGAGGGAGCGAAAATATAGCAGTCAGAACTTTGGTCTGTGGGGCATATTGACATTTGAAAATAGAAGAGGAAAGTCATGAATCTCTCTTCATGGCAGATGCTTTAAAGCATGATGAGTTGAAAAGACACAGCATAACATAATTACACATATGTTGCAGTGACTGGAAAGATTTTAACAGCAGAGTACAACAATGAATTTTTTTGTACATTAGGTGGTATATATCTAAAATTTTAATGTCTTTCAGAGTACCTGGGCAATATGGTGTACAAAAGTTACTCAAAACAATTTAGCAGAAGTAGCATGGTGGAACTAAGTGAGTATCATGCCTAAGAGTCCAAATGATGAACTTACAAAGCATGTTGTGATATAAGATCTAAAATTTGAATCATCTGAGAAGATATCAGCCAGACGCATAGCATTGAGTCGCAAAAGCCCCATGGGAAAAGTTCTGTCTGAACATGGACTAAGATGATTGGGATCTTTGCTAAGTGCAGCCTTCAGTAATTCAAGAATCTACATGAAAAACTATATTAATAGCAAGCATGGTAAAACTAGGCTTCAAAATGAAACAAAGAATATTGGAAACAGTGGGTTGAGGCAAATTTGGTTTGAGGATCACCAATAAATGACACTGGCCAATATCTCTCCTGCAAAATAGATCTTTGTTCAAGATTACTGCTGGTGGAAAGAGATTATCAACTTTTCAAAATGCTTTGGTTTAGCAGATGTGTCAGGTAAAACAAATATAATTAGCGTTCCATCAGCCTGCCTCTCCACATCAAAAACCACTACATGTGCTAGCACATTTATTAAACTAACCTCTAATACTACAGACTTTGCCAAATCAAGGCTCCATGGAGAGCTTGCAACCTCATCAAGGTAAGAAATGCTTTCTGCTTCACACAGATGCAATAGCTGGAAAAAAACATATGATCAAACAGAAGAAGAAATCAAGGATATTTAGACAAATAAGGGAATAAGAAGTTAAACTCGATTATGATGCAGCTTAAGCCTTGCCACTGCATTAAAACTTACAATCGATAACACTTTAGCCTTCAGTCTAGATACTGCAGCTACAACTGTGAAAGAATCTACTAAAGGAGGTGTGATGTTTAACTTCAAGATGGCCTGGGCCAGAAAAAGAACACCTCCCCTTCCACATAGTTCCTGGAATAATATTATACACAGATATTTTACCAAAAAATGAAAATGATGAACAGAAAATAAGAATATTAAACGTGAGATGTTCACTTTGATAATAAACGGAGACTTATTGCTTGTATGGATACCATTGTCAAGATCATTGATGCATATACAAGTTATAAATTATAGTTACCCTAATGCAATGTTACACAATCAAAATGTTAGTCCAGAAAATCTCCATGTTTCTCCCACTCACTTTCCTGCTTTTTCACCACATGCAATCACATTAACTAGATACTTCTTCTGATTTGGTTCAGCAAGAAGTATTTCCCCATCTTATGTAAAACACATAGAAAAACATTGAAGCTGGCATCTCCTGGCATACAACGTTAACCCAAACATATAGAATAAGATGGTTCTATTTTAGAAACCTTGTTCCTAAGAAGGCGCTCGCGAAACATCTTTTGCTGGCACAATGACTGAAGAGTCTGTAAAGAAGCCTCACATTGTTGGCAGATATAGTTAACTATTTGTTCAGCTGTTGGACTTTTCGCATGAAGACCAGTATATTGATCTGATAGCTTGACCTGAAGAAATCTAATGGCTACATGAACAGCTCCAAAAGCTGCATCCATAAATATGTCAACCTATATGAGAAAATTCATTATCAGAAAGTCCATAAATGTCTCTGCCTGCAGAGCTCAAAATAAAATGATAATATGACCACAAGTAGTTGATGAAAATGAATATAATAGATCAAAGAATAAAAACAAGAGAAACAAAAGAAGATGCAATATTAGGTGGCTCATCTTTACTCATTTTAACAATCAAGTGCGATCATCTTTATTATTGTTCAAATAGATTTTTCAACTCTGAATTTTGTACGATCAAGTTCAAATGTTGATGCGTATTAGCATAAGTCTTGCATGTCTAATAACAAATGACCTGGAATCAAACCCGTCACACATGGAATACACGTGACCCCATCGCCAAGGTGATCTTTTTGAGGGAAGCATCCCTCCAATCAACCCATTAAAATTATTTTATATAAAATTTAAAACTTTTTTATTTAATAAAAATATAAACTTATTCACAGATTGCCCAAATAAAATTCTTGGAACCCACAAAATAAAGACTGAGATGTTTTTTTTTATCATAAAACATTGTGATGTCATCAAGAACAATAAACCAGAGTTGGTCATAACCAAGGCTCTAAACACAAATAAATGAAAGCCCCTTATCAAAGTATTCAAGAAAGCCCCTTATCATTGCACATCTATTGAGTCAAGAAACATAGAACTTCCTCCAACCAAATGCTATGATGCTCAAATTCCCTGCATATTTATAAAGTACAAGGGCTGCCCCATTCCATGAATTTGGAAAACCACAAAGGGTACTCCATGAAACCCAATCTATTATCGTCCAAAGTAATTTTGGATTACAAATATTCCAAAACCATTCCAATTAAAACCCAACTTAAATCACTGGTAACACTTAGAGGGTATTTAAGATTATGTTAGCGGTTACTTTTCAAAGTATTTTTCATTCAGAAATGAATCAAAATAATTTTTTTCATTTAAAAAAAATATTTTTAACATCAGCACATCGAAACGATTTGAAAAAAAAAATTGAAGTAAAGAAAAATAAAATAAAAATCAATTTTTTTTAAAACGCAAAAACAAATGAGGTCTTAAAAAACTCAAATCTCACCACAGATTCATAAAAAAAAACCACCCCTGCCTTCAACATACACCTACGCTTGCAAAGAGCCTCAAGAACAGTATGGTCACTGATGTTTGCTCCATCTCCTCCAGCTCCTCAATCTCCCTGCTGCTGCCACAGCAACCATGGTCACTGTTGCACTGTTGCAGGTGTGACAGCACCATTTCCATCAAAAACCTCTAAAATATAGAATAAAAGGTTGTGACAGCAACCTGCAGATAGATGGTTGTGAGTTTATAGGTTCAATATTTTATGGTGATTTTGTAGGTTGAGATGGTGGATTGGGATAGTGGTTACAATTTGAGTAGTTTGTTCTTGGGCTTTATGGTTATTGGCAGTGGAAATGTGGTGGTAATGGGTATAATTGAGGTTTCAATTGTGACGATGGTCGTGGTGAGAGTGCAAGAACAATGGTGGCGTGGTGTAGGTGTTAGTGAAAAAGGAAAGGACAGATTTGATTTTAGCTCAGTTTCCCAACATCTCAAAGCCTAAATTAATGGGAAAAAAGGTATCTGGTCAGTAGGAGGGAAAAAATTCCCTCCCAAACAATAACCTTGAGAACACACGTAACTTGGGCATTCTGGCCTCACTGGTGGTGTGCTGATTCCATGTCACTTCTTAATGGACACATAGGACACTTAACTGACATCCACATTTGACTTGATTATGTGAAATTTAGAAATTGAAAGATCTATTATAACAAAATTAAAGATCACGCACTTGATTGCTAAAACTAGTAAAGTTAAAGCACTAAATATCTCATTTTCTCAAAAGAAAAGAAAAAAAAAAAAAGGGCTTTGCAGTGATCCCATGAAAATAGTCAACCCATTGCTCTTAAATATCCATTTAAACAAATCATGTGGAAAATTTGTACCTTGGGGTGAGCAAGCAATACTTGAACAAGATCTTGCCATTGCAAAGATATACATCCTGACAATAAATGCAGACTGGATGCTACAAGTGCTGAATGCACAAGTAACAAAGAGCATGAATTAAGGTTTTCCTACATCACAAAAACAACCCTGGTAAACTTGAAGAGTTTGGGAAGTAAACCATCAGAAGAAAGTATTAATGAATACCTGTCTATAACCACTAAGAACAATCAGTAAATAAAACACCAGATCCAGCAGCTGCTCTGATACTTTAACATCATCAAGCAAAACCTGTATATATACCAAAAGAGCATTCGAGAGAAATACATTTTACTTCTAGATATCGTTCCCAAATTCTTACAAACATAAATATCTGATGGTGAAAATAACACATCACAGTTGCCCAATAATAAACAAAGAGAATGATAGTTTACAGAACAATGGGTAGCATCCAAATACAAGTCCATTTAAAGATAAATAATTACAGATACTGACAACAAAGAACACAATGCCACAACTAGTTTAAAGTAACTTCCAAATGCGAGTACTTAGAATAGCTTCAGCATTACAAAGAAAAACCAAGCAGATGCACAAAAGACTTCAATATTTGATCCAAGGATTCATCTCTTAAAGTAAAGTAATAGGGAGACGGAGGAACTTATTTTGAGTTAAATTTAAAATAGTGACCATCCCTACAATTTGTCAAGGTTCACAAGCACAACAAAGCCTGACTTTAAATACATGTCTAAACATTTTCGATTGATGTGTCCAAATCCATTTGCTAAGCAAAACAGACAACAAAACTGATGATACATAAAAATAATAATAAAGACTAGGCAATGATTGATAAAAGCAACCTGCTCAAGTTTACTGTTCCGAGGTCCTAGATCACACAAGGAATGCAGAAGCCGAATCCCGCACAACAAATATCTCAACAGCGATTCATCTCTATCAGATGACATAAGCACTGCAATAAGGTGTAAAGGAAGGAAGCCTGCCAGTTTTTCCACATCAATCTGAAAAATAATGTGATTTAAGATGCAAGATGATGTAAAATAAGAAAGCATAAGTGTGATGATGATGAGCTTGTTTCCTAACCTTTGTCGTTGATCCCTTTTCAGAATGAAAGTGAATTGTAAAATTTTCAGAGTCCCTTAACAATTTGTTAAGCTCCTGAGAGCTAAGACCGTGTAACTCTTTCACTGCTGAAATTAAATCAATGACCTGTTCATAAAAGCAGATACTTGTCCATGTTAGAAAGAGGGAGTGACTAGAGAGAAACAAAAATGAACACAAAACACAGTTGAATAATTAAACAATGAAACTGATAAAATGGTCAGTCATGTTAAGCAGACATTAAAGGAACTCAACACACAAAAATAAAGTGAAAAAATAAAATGAAACAGAAGAGTTGGATGATTGAAAAAATAAAAATGATGAAACAAGTGAATTTCGGAGATGATTTTGCCATTATCCATCCAAAAGCAAATAAAAACCACAAAAAAAAAAACCTGAGTTAACAATGCTCACTTGTTCAGCCATAGACAGTTCTTCCTTAGCAAGCCTCATGCTAGAGCCAAGACAAGAAAGCTGACCAGAGAAAATAATGAACCACTGCAACCAGAACAAGAAACAGAGCATGAATGCTGACAATAATGTAATGTGCTCAAGGCTAAAAGCAGCTAAAGGAGGGGAAAGGATGAGGGCAGGCATATGAACAAAGTAGAAGCCAATTCTTCAAAGACAATGAAGAAAGAACTTATTGAAATAAATCTCCCTGAGTTTCTAACAAATAATATAATACCAGCTATTTTTGGTAGCAGACAGTGCATCTGCTCAAAAAAGTAAGAGCAAAGAAGCACCCTGGAAGGAGCAAATAATGTAAAGTTTGTAAACTTGCACTTGGTATTCCAAAATCAAACAATTTTCTTGAATTCTTATTTCAAATTTCAGTTTCACAACAGAAATTTTTTATGTTACAGCAAAGAATTACCGAGGCAGGAAAACCACCCCAAATTCTGATGTGTGTCATAGGAAACCCCTCCCCCCGTTTTTTTTTATCCAAGCAACACCACCATAGGTGAATTTCCTGGACCTATGAGTACCCAATTGACTCACGGTACGGTGAATGGGAGGCCCAAACCCAGGTAGGTGATGCAAAGATGGAACTTCTTGCACCTATCAGTGATGGGAATAGAAACCATACAGCATCTATACATTTATAGAATGTAGGAAGCTCTAACTCCTCAATTATTGGCAATGAAATCTCTAATTATTTAGGATTTAGTATTTCTTTTAATTATGTATTTAGGATTTAGTCTAAAAAGGAAAACTTAAGTTATTTGATTGTCATCTTATCATTCTGTAACTTGTTACTCCGTAATTGTGCTAGTTACAAATAATAGTGTACAATTACAGCTCAAAAAGTACACTGTCACTTTCAAAAAGTACTATTCACTTTATGACATTACAAATTATTAAGTACATTTACCTACCGAGCTATTAGAAATTTATCTTGTAATTTTATTATTTAACTAATTTCTCCATAAATCTTATAACTCTAAAAAAAATCTGATAGCTGTAAAGATTTAAGTACAGTTCTGACAGTAAAAAAAATTCCTAGTTACCTTGAAGAAGAAAAGGCCACCATTTACATCATGCAAAACTCAGAAACAGTAAAGGTATTTTGTTTCTGCATTTAAACAAAAATTATTTTTTTATTTACTTGAAATTAATATACTGATATCAAAAATAATTTTTTAAAAATAAAAAAATTATTAATATATATTTTAATACAAAAAATTATTTAAAAAATAATCACAATCATACTTTCAAATAAGCTTTAAATACTTTACTTAATGCATTGTAAACCTCATCTTATCACTTTGTAAAGATGAAGGTGCTACAATTATAACGTTTTCAAGTAACCACCACAACAAGCACCTCTTCTCAAGCAATTCTCATGCTATATTTATTATGGAAAACCATACAGCCCTATTTATTGAGTTTAAGAAATCCCAAGTCCTGAGCTTTTTGGCAATGGCAATATCAACTATTAGGAATCCCCAATTATTTAGGATTTAATAACGTTTTAATAATGCATTTAGGGTCTAACCTAAAAAGGAAGGATAACTCGCTCTATTAGAGGTCAACCTCCTCAGAACAGTTACTTTGAAGCGGTATAAACTTAAATCCATTTTCTTTTCACATTACAATTAATCAACTTTTGAAGTGGAACCCTAACAGTACAACAGTAGAATGTCTCACATGCAAGTAACTCCCAGCCACCACATGCCCGAAAAATTAAATCCAGAATTACAAGCAATATAAAAAGGAAATGTCCATTCAAATGGAAGTGGGTTTCGTTTATTTTAGACAAGATTCAAAACCCAGAAATCATAAAGTCCCTAATCACTCCCTGAACTCGATGCGGTGTCATTTTTTACTGACTGTCAAGTAACTAACTCTATGATGATCACAGAAACACAGAATCAATTGACTCTTCCACACGGCATCTTCGAATTCAAAAATGTGAAAAATCTGAAGGCATGCACTCATTATTGCGAGAGCTGAGCTGAACAAGCTATACAAATACATACATACATACATACATACATATATATATATAAAACCTAGATTTCAATTTCAAAGTGAAGTGAACGTTTAAACCCTAAAATGCTAAGGAAATAAAAAAAGGGCAGAATTGCAAGCAGAAAAAAGGAAAAATAATGTAAACGAAAAAATAAAATTCAACAACAACAGTGAATTAAGAGCTAACCTTTTGAACCGTATCAAAGAGCTAAGCGCCCACAACAAAAAAAAAAAAAAGTAGCAAAAATAAATAAATTAGCGGGATTTCTTGGTTTTGGGCGTTTGAAATTTTTTGAGGCCGTGCTGTGTGTTTGTTTATATGATTGAAGGAAAGACGGAGTGGGCTTCGTTAATAAAAACCACAGGTTTTGTTTTTTCTTGCTGGTTGAAAAATGGAAAACCACAGGATTGCTACAAGAAAAAAGTGAATCCCTTTTTTTTCTCTGATGCAGCAGGTTTGATTGTTTGCTAGATTTCTTTAGTTCCTGTTTTCTTTAACTCGGTTCAAACTTAGCACTATATATTTGAAAATATACAATTTAGTCCTTTGACCGGTCGATTTCCTATGATCGCTGTCCTTCTACAAATTCGTTGTTTTTATTTCTCATGAAGTAATGCATAGTAAAGGAAAGAATACGATGTTTTAAAATCTCATATACTCATAAATAAGATATTTTTTGTTGTTTAGATTATAAATTAATTAAATGTTTATTTAAATATTTTTTTCTTCTGAGAAAAAAAATATTTTTGATATATGTCCTTGAACATCTACAAAAATTTATTTTTTGAAAAATTTCATAATAATCTTCGTATTGTAAAATAAATAATTTTATAAATATATTTTTTAATATAGGATCTTGAGGGTAATTTAAATAGTATTTATAGTTTATGAATTTTGTTTTTTTAAAAAAAAAGAGGTTAGAGAATTATTTTATCCTATAATATTAATAAAAATATCTCTTATACATATATTAATAAAAGAGAATATATCTCTTGAATATAAAAGAAAAATATTTTTAATACATTGAGAAAATATATAATTAGTTTTAAAATGAGGCTGGACCACAAAGGGATCAAGTAAACTTCTTAGGAGTAAGCTCGAAGTGCACATCCTGAAGGGTATTGGTTTGTAGCCTGAGCCTACCATCATCCTATGTAGCCCAGGTCCACAAGATATTAGATATAGATTTAGTAATTAAACTCATTTTTATTGTAAATTTGTGCTAAAAATAAATATTTTTCTATTAAATATTAAAAAATATTGATAAATCTTAGTTTATCAATGATAAACAATCACAACCAGACAAAATGGCAAGCCATGCAAGTTTAATCAACTTTTTGGTAGTTATTTATCGTATTATTTGGTTAAAAGAAATTCTAAACTTTACATATATATTTTTTTATTTTCTCGTAACCATACGATAGTTTGCTCTAAAATGTGAATTGGATAGTGATGTTTGTCAATACAGATCAACTTTATTTTTGTAGCTTTAAATTAATTTTTTAAGTGTTTTTAGATTATTTTGATGTATTGGTATTAAAAATAAAATTAAAAAATATATATTATTATAATATATTTTCAAACAAAAAATATTTTAAAAAAATAACATCTATGACGCTTATAAACGCACATCAATATATTGAAATTTAAAAAAGAAGAAAAAGAAAAAGAAACAATAGATGCTGTAATAAGATGATGGCCTGCAAGAAACAACAAAGGGACTAAGTTGTAGGTTTTAGAACAAAAGAAACTAAGTCACAATTACAACTGAGAGGGACTAAATAACAATTTAGTCTCAAAAGAATCCAGAATCAAGGCCCAGAGGCTGACCGTGGGCGTGGGCGTGGGCTCAGGTACAGGCCTCTCGGCATTTGTGGGTAATACAGCGTAATATTTGTGGCATTTTAGGTATTGGAAATTCAGAGGGATGGTAACCAGCTGCAAACTGCGTAGCACTATAAACCGCTGATAAACCCTAAAAAGAAAATAAAAGAAACGACAATGGCAGACCTTCTTGTAGAACAAACCCAAGAAATTATCATCTCCAAAACCTTCCCAACTAAACCAAAGCTAAAATCCAAACCGAAAACCCCATTAAAAACCCCTGAATCCAAATACTGGTCTTCCTTCAAATCCCACCAAATTTCAAACCTCATCTCCTCCATCCCTTCCATCGATTTCTCACCTATATCCCCACACCACTTTGCCGCCGCCAATTCCGCCTCCCTCAATCTCTTCTCCTCCCACACACTCTCTCCCGTCTCTACCATCTCCTCCTCCGATGTCGTCACCTCCTGCTCCTTCCGCTGCGACGGCTCCCTCATTGCCGCCTCTGATCTCTCCGGCCTTATCCGGGTATTCGATGTCAAGACACGAACGCCACTTCGTCGCCTGCGGTCCCACGCCCGCCCTGTTCGTTTTGTCAAGTACCCGTTACTAGATAAGCTCCATTTGGTGTCTGGTGGTGATGATTCTGTAGTTAAATACTGGGATGTTGCTGGAGAGAGTGTGGTTTTGGACCTGTATGGTCACAGGGACTATGTGAGATGTGGTGATTCCTCTCCAACTGATGGAGAGATGTTTGTCACTGGGTCGTATGATCACACTGTGAAGCTGTGGGATGTGAGAGTTGATAATAAAGAATCAGTTATTGAAGTGAATCATGGAAATCCTGTTGAGGATGTGATTTTTTTGCCTTCAGGCGGAATGGTTGCTACGGCAGGAGGGAATAGTGTGAAAATATGGGATTTGATTGGAGGAGGGAAGATGCTTTATTCGATGGAGAGTCATAACAAGACTGTTACTTCTATTTGTGTAGGGAAAGTAGGGAAAGAGAGTGGAGAGGAGGCTTTGCAGTATAGGATTTTGAGTGTGGCTTTAGATGGCTATATGAAGGTTTTTGATTATGCAAAAATGAAGGTTACTCATTCCATGAGGTTTCCTGCCCCACTTATGTCAATTGGATTTTCGCTGGACTGTATGACTAGGGTTATTGGGTCTTCCAATGGGATTATATTTTCCGGGAGGAGGAAGGCGAAGGAGGATGTGGGAGAGAGTAAAGTAGGGAATTTTTGGGCGCTGGGCAGTGTAGAGGAACCGCAGAGGCGGGCTTTGAGGCCAACTTATTTTAGGTATTTTCATAGGAGTCAAGGGGAGAAGCCAAATGAGGGGGATCATTTGATAATGAGGCAAAGGAAGGTGAAATTGGCTGAGCATGATAAGTTGTTGAAGAAGTTTAGGCATAAAGAAGCATTGGTTTCAGTTTTGGGTGGGAAGAATACGGAGAATGTGGTGGCTGTGATGGATGAATTAGTGGCGAGGAGGAAGTTATTGAAATGTGTTGTGAATTTGGATGATGAGGAGCTTAGTTTGTTGTTGGGCTTCTTGCACAAGCACTCGACTATGCCAAGACATTCTGGTTTGTTGACGGGGTTGACTAGAAAGGTACTCGAGATGCGGGCTGAAGATATTAGAGCTTCTGATGCATTGAAAGGTCATATTAGAAACCTTAAAAGGTCGGTTGACGAGGAGATCAGAATTCAACATTCACTACAAGAGATACAGGGTGTAATTTCTCCTTTATTGAGAATTGCTGGGAGAAGATAAAACTTGAAATGGGTTATAGTTCGTTGTGAGGTGCTCTAGTGTTATGAAATGCTGAGGTTGTCATTATTAAACCTAGGCTGAGATTGTCATTAGTGAAGTTCAGCAATTTTGTGGCATTTATGTTCTTATTTGGATTCTTTTCAAATTTTGAGATTAGTGTTGTTGTTTTAATCAGCAGTTACGTTCTTTCTCTAATTGTAATTGTGGTTACTCAAGATGGTGTTTACCCATTTTTGAATTGAAATGTCTTTCCCGTCAAATTATCTGCAGAAGAGATGGGAAAAAAACTGTGTTTCAATCCTAATTTAATATTGAAAGTGCTTTCACTGTGAGAACTACATTGTTATTTGTCCAAATGCTTGCAGTATTGTCTTGAAGCTCGCAGTTATTTTCTTTGGCTATGAACCTCTGTTGTTTTTGCATAACATGCTTTGCAGCTTTATGACTGCAATATTTTTCAGTGTGCTTTTTATTACTTCTTGGCAAGAACATATCTCATCGTATCCTTGGCATCTGAAGAAATGCTTTGTGTTCTGGTGTTTGTGCATGTTGTTTGTTGTGATGCTAAACAAGAAGCAACAGATCTATGCTCAGCGTGGGTACTGATTTGATACGGATTGTTTTTATGCGAGTCCGAGATTATTTTCTTGTCTTCCTATCTTATAATGTTGCTGTGTTTAAGCTTTGTCATGGATATTGCTGCTTGTTAGTGGGTGCTTTACTGACGATCCTCATCAATTTTAAGTGTCCTGGATTTACTTTGTTTGAGCTTCTCATGCTACAAATTGTTGATAGCACCCTGCTGTTAATGGTTTGCATTACTTCAGCTCATCTTTTACCAAAAATAAAAAATGCAATTTCCTGCTATTTTGCTTCCTTGTAAGTTGCTGTTAGCTTTCTGCTTTACTGCACTTGGTGTTCTATTTTGTCTGATACTGAGGTTGCTGGTCTGTTGCTGGTTAAGCTTCGGTTTGATGGTTTATGCTGTCACCCCAGCCTCGCTGTTCAGAAATTTATCACATAGCAGGCTCCGGGCCTTTCAACTTTTTGTTTGAAGTGTTTGGTAATGCTAATAGTTAAAAGGGGGGGCAGAAACCAAAAATGAAATGAGAACAAATTTAACATCTCTTAGAACCATTAACCATAAGATGTGAGATTACTGTTGTCATTTATCTATTGATATCTGAGAAAGTTGCTGGCGTTTTTGTTGTTATTGATACTCCTGTTCTTCTTGTTTGATTCCTGCTTTGCTGATGATCCCTGTCAAGATTATGCATCTTTGTTCATCTTTTATTGTGACAAAACATTGATGAGCACCCTGCTGGACTTCATGGTTTACACCTCTGCAGCTTTGTTAAAAAGCACAACCTGTTTTTTACCTGCTGTTATCCTGCTACTCCTTGCCTTTAGTTCCACTTTTGTCCACCACCATCTCTGGCCACCACTAAATCTGCAACTAATTAATTTGCATAATTTCATATTCATTCATAGCTAGATAAGCAAAAGAAATAAGCACATTTTATTTATATTTTCCATGCCGTTTTCGTATTCATTTCCTGAGTTACCCGGCAGGGCATTGCTTGACAAAGGTGCTTGACAAAGGTGTTCACCGGCGATGAGGACAAAAGAAGACATTACACAGCCAGCCTACAGCTGACAAGCTGGGGAAAAAAATATACAGTCTGCTGGTAGATTTATTTGATCCTTAATTTATTTTTATTTTTGAATTTTTTTAAGGATTTGATTTTCCTTTTTAATTTTATTATTCAATTTAATATTTGATAATGTTTAAGTTTTGACCCTTAATATTTTAATTTTTAATTTTTAATTTTGATTTTTAGTCCTTGTATCAAATCTTATTTTATTT